CCGCTCCTCTAACTAACCGAGGCAGAGCGGGCCAGGTCTGGCCTCCAGAGCGCACAGCCTCGTTGACCCGGAGCGCCGGGCCACGCCTTAGAGGGCGTCGGGTTCAGCGCTAGGCCGAGGTCGCGCCCGGGCCGGGTGCTCTGACCCTAGGCCTCCCCCGCTCCCCACTTACCAGCCGTTGACCTCATTTTGGGAGTTCACATCCACCCCGCTCTCCACCAGTTTCTGCACCTCCCGAATGTCCCCCAAGGCCGCGGCCTCCCGCAGCCTCTCCTGCTGCTCCTTCTGCTCCAGGAGAGCGCTCATCTTCCCTCAGCCCCGGTCAGCGCCGCCGCCGCCGCGGCCCGCTCCCCGCCATGGGGAGACTGCGCGGAGCACGTCCGCCGAGCTCGCACCGCCGCCCGCGCCCGGCCAGCTGCCTCTGCTACCCCGCCGAGGGCCGCCCGCCACTCCCCTGCAGCTCCCAGCCCGTGGGCCCAAGCCTCCTCCCGGCCGCGCCTCCCGCAGGCCGGCTCCGGGGGAACCTATTCGGAGTGACAACCCTGACCCAGATATTTTCCGTTCCTACCCTCGGCGCCCGCGCGCGCTGGCTGTTTATGTAACAGCTGCACAATATTATCTGCCGTGATTCACGGACTATTTTTAGAACTCCCTACCCCGCAGCTTCCAGGGAGGAGGACAGACACAAGGAAAGGGAAGAATGGGTATTTGAGAGGCAGAAAAGCCTTATCCACTGGCGCAGGCTGTTTACCAGGCATCAAAAATAATTGGTGTTCCCCAACCCCCCACCCCCACCCCGTTTGTTTGGCTCTTTTACCTTATCTGAACCAATTCTTGCCCAGCAGGATGGGGAAATGGGCTGAAACGATCCTATTATATGCCTTTTATTGCAGAGATAGAGTACACGGTTCTTTTTTTTTTTTTTTTTTTGCGGTACACGGGCCTCACACTGTTGTGGCCTCTCCCGTTGCGGAGCACAGGCTCCGGACGCGCAGGCTCAGCGGCCATGGCTCACGGGCCTTTCCGCTGCGCGGCATGTGGGATCTTCCCGCACCGGGGCACGAACCCGCGCCCCCTGCATCGGCAGGCGGACTCCCAACCACTGCACCACCAGGGAAGCCCACGGTTCTTCTTTTGACAGTGCTTGGGACTATTCAGTCCGATTATTTATTTCAATTGCTGTTGTTTTACATCTCATTTTAGAGATTTCTTCTAAATTGGCTTTCAGGAAAAATATATTGTGCTCAGTCTATAAAATGTGATTTATTACTGCTTTTAAATCTTAATTAATTACTCTTCGTGAAGCCAATGTAAGGAAAAAAGAAAGAACACCGAAGAGGCTTTGGAGCTATCCGGGTCTCTGATATCAAGAGCTGGGGAGAGGAACGGTGCAAAGTATAAACAGCATTCTGCCTGACTTCTTTGCCTAATCAATCTAATGAGGCTCAGAGCCTGGGCTGGCACTGTTTTACTACACAGCTCGAGAAAAAGAAAAGTATTGTTTTGCTGAGCCCGGGCTCCCGGGAGACATTTTCCAATGTGGCACAGGATGGAAGATTGCAGATGGGGTCGGAAGGGTTAAGGAATAACCCTGGGGTGAAAAAGAGAAAGGTCTGAACGCAGAGAGGAGATAAAATAGGAAGAGACAAATTTAGGCATGGGGTTTTCATTTGCCTCTCTTGGGGCAGCCCAGGATTTGCACAGCTAGCATTTTTCTTGCTACTGTTTAAGAAAAACCCAAATCTGCTTATTATGATACAGTCATTCACACAGTACACAGCGCACACCAGGTGGTACTGAATATAAATTGACTTCACACTTAAATTGATCCTGTGGTGAACTGGAACTCTGCTTGAGCTTACATTTTTATTTGTCCCCCAATTTAAACTTTAATTCTCAGATCCAGCATGATACTCCATCTGAAGCTGATGTGCATAGTACTGGAATTGGGCCCTTTAGCACAATTTGTGTGACAGAGGAGTAGGTAGTGGCCTCTTTTTTTAAAAAGCAGTTCAAAACACTTGGTAGTTACTGCAGATCAAAATCTGTGAGTTCCCTTTGTAAGGATTTATTTGTAAAATTTCCCTTCCTTACAAAGGATTTTAGGGACTTCCCTGGTGGCACAGTTAAGAATCTGCCTGCCAATGCTGGGGACACAGGTTCGAGCCCTGGTCTAGGAAGATCCCACAAGCCACAGAGCAACTAAGCCCGTGTGCCACAACTGCTGAGTCTGCACTCTAGAGCCCGCAAGCCACAACTACTGAGCCCACGTGCCACAACTACTGAAGCCCGTGCGCCTAGAGCCCGTGCTCTGTGACAAGAGAAGCCACCGCAGTGAGAAGCCCGTGCACCGCAACGAAGAGTAGCCGCAACTAGAGAAAGCCCACACACAGCAACGAACACCCAATGCAGCCAAAAATAAATAAATAAATTTATTTTTACAAAAAATTTTACTTATTTGGCTGCACTGGGTCTTAGTTGTGGCACACGGGATCTTCAGTGCAGCATGCGGGATCTTTAGTTGTGGCATGTGAACTCTTAGTTACGGCATGCATGTGGGATCTAGTTCCCCGATCAGGGATCGAACCTGGGCCCCCTGCATTGGGATTGCGGAGTCTTACCCACTGGACCACCAGGGAAGTCCCTTATTTATTCTTTATTTTTAAAAATTTAGGGAATTCCCTGGTGGTCCAGTGGTTAGGACTTGGCACCTTCACTGCCAGTTGGGCCCCGGGTTTGATCCCTGGTCGGGGAACTAAGATCCCACGAGCTGAGCGGGGCAGCCAAAAAAAGGAAAAGAAGGGCTTCCCTGGTGGCTCAGTGGTTGAGAGTCTGCCTGCTGATGCAGGGGACACGGGTTCGTGCCCTGGTCCGGGAGGATCCCACATGCTGCGGAGTGGCTGGGCCCGTGAGCCATGGCCGCTGAGCCTGCGCTTCTGGAGCCTATGCTCCACAACGGGAGAGGCCACAACAGTGAGAGGCCTGTGTACCACAAAAAAAAAAAAAAAAAAAAAAAAAAAAAGGAAAAGGAAATTAACAAACATTTATTCCTTTAGTTGAACAAACTTTACACACAAAATATATGGTTTAACTTTTGTTGTTGTTTGTTCGTTTGTTTTTTGAGTGGAAAGGAATTTAGGTCTCAAGAGGTTTTGTGAGCCTGTTACCTATTTTATGGAAATCATTTAAGTGATTGATTGATTGATTGATTGATTGATTTGCCTCAAGACCCAGCTTGCAAGATTTTAGTTGCCTGACCGGGGATTGAGCCCTGCCTGCCATCCCCCACTCCCCGCCCCCCACAGTAGAAGTGCAGAGCTCTAACCACTGGACCATCAGGGAATTCCCTAAGTGAGCCTTTTAAAAGAACTAAAGAGAATAGGAGAAAAATTGGTTCAAGGAAACCAGCAATTCGATTTCAAAATTAAACTACCTATTAAGTCAGCAAAACCAGAATTGGAAAGAATTGGGGCAATTACTCTTCCATATTTCCTACACACTCAAATTCACCCAGGTGAACAAAGCCTGGACAACGGGAAGATGGGAAGCAAACAGATGTGGTGGTATGCTGAATATTAAAGAAGGCATAATTGGTGACTTGGAAGTTTGTAGAAAGGTAAGGATTTTTGAGGGTA